CGGGTACACAGGGGCATGGCCTGTGGCAATCCCAAGGTGACGAGGTGACATGGTCGCAGAGTCCACTGTGTTGAGCAGACAGACTCAACGAAGATCACGCCAATCTGAGATCTTGCAGTCTGATCAGATGAGATCACATTCAATCGCGGCCGCTAACCGGCGCCGCTGTGGTTGACCATGCGCTCGGACTCCTTCAAGATCTTGGACTGCGACGGGTGCGTTACCAAGGAGCACGGCGGCGGAGTGGTGGTGAGCGGGGCGGCGCGCAGCAGTGCTGACGGCTACGTCGGAACGCACGCAGAGGAAGGGGAGGGGGCGGTGCATCCGCCATCGGGCGTGCAAAGCCTGGAAATGGTGCCGCCCTCCAGCCTCAGATGGCGCGGCATTCGCAGGTGGTTGCGGAGCGCGTGTGGCAGCTTGGTGCGGCGCTCCGCGCCGGCCGGCCTCTCACCAGGCCAAAGTCCGCCAGCTGCGTTGTTGGGGGAAGCATGTGGGTGGTGGGTGGACGAGCAGGGCAGCGGGGGTGACAGTTGGGTGAGGCCATCGATCAGCTGCGGGTGATCACCAATGACGGCTTGGCCTGGAACCCTGATACCACGTCTCATAAACGCAGCCTCGGCCTGACCGTGCCGTGGGCACCAACACCCACAGCCCAACCCAGTCACAGCCGTCCCAGGCTAACCAGCCGCCACGCCCGCAGTCAAAGCAACCAGACGCCACCACACGTGGCCAAACAACATTTAAAAAAGGCCACGAGTCACAGTCACACACAGCTCAGCAAGTCAAACACACACAGACCCTGATGCGCCACCCTGCATGCCCCTCCGTCACCTTTGGCGTGACCCCTAGAGCGCGCGAGGGCTCGCTCTTGAGCAGCACGTTTGAGAGCTTTATGTCTGAGTGCAGGATGCTGAGTTTGTGGAGGTACTGCAGGCTGAAGGCGATGTCCAGCAGCACCTGCAACACGTGTGTGTGTGTGTGTGTATGTGCATGTGTGTGTGCGTGCGTGTGTGTGTGCGTGTGTGTGTGCGCGTGTGTGTGCGCGCGCGTGTGTGTGTGTGTGTGTGTGTGTGCGCGTGTATGTGAGTGGTGGTTGGTGTGGAGGCAAAGCGCTGCCTGTGTGCGTAGGTGGCACAAAGTGGCAATGCCAGGCTTCATCGCCGGGCGCGCCTGTGGATGCGGCAACAGCTCAGGTCGGGCGTCGGTGCAGTTCGACAGTTGGCGCTCGCAAGTTGCTGGCGCTCAGCACGCGTCCCCCGTCAAGGGACCCCTTTCTCGCGGTCGTCCCGCGTGTCAGGCCCGGCCTTTGGCTTTGGGCACGTCGCCGCGAGGGACGATACCCACGTCGATTATGAGGGCCAGGTCGACCCCTATGGCCCCGCTGTCCAGACGCCGGTGGAACATGCCGGCCTGCACAGCGTCCCTCAGGGTGCCCCTGTGTGCGTTCGCGTGCAGATGTGTGTATTTGTGTGGGCGTGTGTGAGAAGCTGATGCATGTGTGTGCATGCGTGCGCGCGCGGGTGTGTGTGTGTGTGTGAGTGCGTACGTGCATCTGTGTGCGTGTGCGTGCCTGCGTGCGTGCGTGAGCGTGTGTGTGTGTGTGTGTGTGTGTGTGTGTGTGTGTGTGTGTGTGAAAGAAAGAGAGGGAGGGCGGGAGGGTGACAGGGCTGGAGCGTGCCTACATGTATTATCCAGCCACCAAGGCGCAATGCTAGGCAGCCAGTTGCATACGGGCCCCATACCACAGAGGCGCACGCGTGGCGGCGCCGTGCGAATCAAATCGCGGCCCACCTGTCGCAGTATTCCATCACCACTATGTTGTTGGCCTGTGGCAAATCAGGGACGGGGCAGAGTCAGTGGCAATGGTGGGACGTTGGAGGGATCGCACCAGCAGGGCCAGGGAGAAGGGTGACGTGTTGGCCTTCGGACAGCAATCAGTGATCAGCGGGATCCGGCGGACGCGACCGGGGAAGCTACTTGTGCCAAATGCACATTTGAGCTGCCCTGGTTGCGTGTTGATGCCCGCAGCCCTCCCTCTGACCCACGAACACTGGAAACCCGCAAAGGGATGTCCGCACGCACACAGACGTCTGGCATCCCCACACACGCCCCTGATCGCCTCACGCATGCCAATATACATGCGCGCTAATGCGAAGATTGGCACGAAAGCACATGCGAACGCATGCGCACATGCACACGTAGGCACACACACACACACACACACACACACACACACACACACACACATGCACACATGCACACACAAACAATACGTGCCCCGTCTGAAACCCAGCACCCTCATACCCCACGCCTGCCCACCTGCATCCCTACGTCCAGCTCCTCCCCTGGCAGCGCGCGCCGGTACCTCAGCCGCCCCAGCATGGAGCCCTTTGATGATGAGGGGTAGCTGGTGGAGCTGTCGTAGCCTGGGGGGCATGC